TTATGTTTCAAAAGTTATAAAAGTTTTAGTAACACCCCTTTAGTCAATATTTTCAAAAATTAACAAGAAGCCGTTAAGCTCGGTTTGAAACAGCCGTGTTATATTCATTTCATCATCTCAAAATTGTCACAAAAATGTGACCAAAACTGAGTGATTAAATTTACTTAGTATAATGGAATAAACATATCAAAGTTCAGATTTTTTAAAAATAAAATAAACTAACGATAAGTATATTGTTGAGCCTCGCTCTCAAGGTGAGTTTTTACTGATCCGTTTTTTTACTGAAACGGAACAGAAAAAAGAAAAATAGTCACGTGAACATTCTTAGTTTTCCATCAGACAAATTAAAACTTTATTTCTGTGTGCGCAAAACAAAAATATGTATGTATCAGAAGAGAAGAAAGTTTTTTTTGGCGTTCTTACAAAATATTAAAAAGAAAACCCAAATTTTTGTAAGTTTAAGCATGTTTTTGAGCCTCTTAACCCATTTCAGGCCCATTGACTCCATTTTGAGTCGAGACCTATAACTTTTTTCTTCGTCACAATTAGTGCGCAATAATATAATTTTGAATGTTGGATATTTTTTAAAAATATTTTCTCTGATATTTAGTAATTTTAAATATTTAAATGGTGTTTCTGTAGTAATTATTTATAAAATGGTTGTCTGATAGAAAATTTTTGCTAATTTTGAAAAAAAAAAATTTAATTAGTTAAATTTTCTGGATAATTATTGATATTATACTGCATTTCATCCAAAAACCAGATAGAAAAATTTGGAAATAGTTTAATTTGAAATAATTTAGTAAAATTTTGTCATTAACTCCAAATGGGTCTCCAAATCCAAATAGTAGGGTTAAAATAATAATCATTATTATTATTAGGTATAAAAAGTTTATTGTAGAAAGACAATCATGGATTGTAATGTTGAATATCGGCGAAACTAGATATGTAGAATTGTCAAATTGTCAAATTGTCATGTTACCGGATGCACACAGATCAATTCCATACAAGAAGAAATCAAATGGACTGAGCCTGTATTTAGGTGGCGGAAGACTAAGCTATCATTGTATCGAGATATGAAATGGGAATCTTCATTTACTGATCCACCAGCTAAAAAACCGAAAACTATTGAATACTTCCATAAATATGTCACCCTTGAACTAATAAAGCACATTATTGATCAAACTAACATCTACGCTGTACAAAGTGTTTCCAGCGTCAGAACCAGTTGATATGAAATTCAGAAATATTTTGGTATTCTGGTGAAAATGGGCATTGTGCATATGGCTAGATACCAAATGTATTGGGCAAAAGAAACAAGGTTTTCTCTAGTGGCATATTTGATGAATAGAAATCGATTTGCTGAGCTTAAGAAATTCATTCATTTAAATGACAACTTTTTTTATCCCACTGATTGAGATAATCCACGATATAATATATATTTCAAGATTTGGCCCATGCTGACTATGTTACGTAATGCTTGCATACAAACTGAACCAGAAGGAAAGATTAATGTTGATGAGCAAATGATTCCACATAAAGAGAAGAACAGTTTACAACAATATCTTTCTAAAAAACCGAAGAAATGGGGTTTTAAGGCTATAGTACGATGCGGAGTTAACGGATTGATTTACAATTTTCTGTTGTATAATGGTAGTTATTCTTTAGTGTCAAAAAGTTGTGGATATCAAACTGGTGACTTTGTCAAAAAAAATTTTGCAAACCTTTCCAATAGACAAAAATTGCAAGGTCTTCTTTGAGAACTGGTTCACCTTCCTTGAATTACACACACAGCTGAAAAAATCAGGCATTTGGTCTGTTGGAACTATTTAATCTAATCGGACTAAAGGATGTGACCTTAAATCAGAGAAAAAGTTGATAAAATAAGTACGCTGATCATCTGACTACAAATTGATGTCAACAGTGGGTTACATGTTGTTCGGCTGTACAGTTATCATCAACTCATGCTGGAATAGAACCGTTGTTGAAAATAAATCGATGGGATAGAAAGAAACGGAATTCTGTTAAAATAGATTGTCCTGCTATTGTGAACGAATACAATAAACATATGTTGGAGTTGATCTTTTTGACATGTTGATGTCACTTTACTAGAATCAAAAAAGTTGCAAGTGATATCGTCACATTTTTTCCTGGGTCTTAACGTAGCCATCGTTAATAGATGGATTTTGTATTGTCTTCACACGAGCCTGAATGAAATTCCACAAAAGTACCGACTTGATCTTTTAGAGTTCACCGCCAGTATCAGTGATAGTCTCATAAAGAAGAAAAACTACCGCCATTCATTGCTCAAAAGGGTCAGGGTCGCCCTGCAAGATTTTCTTGACAAGCTGAAAATGATGAAGAATTTAAAGACAAATACCAGAGTAAAGAACAAAACGCTGACAAAAAGAAGAAATCAAATTAATTTTTTCAACTTGTCAGGGCGGTATGATAACATTGACCTCTTACCAACGCATGCAGAACCAAAATACAGATGTAAAGTGTGCAACATATACGTGAGACTAAAATGCATAAAATGTGGTTGCCATTTATGTGTAACTAAGTTTAAAAACTGTTTCATGATTTTTAAAACGAAGTAGTGCATGCATAAAGCAAAATGATAACTACTTTGTATATCAAAAACAAATGACTGGGTCATGATACTGTTATAGAGAGTAGTTATTTCTAAACAAAGAACAGAAAATATTTATTTCTAAACAAAGAAAACATTTGTTTGAAATAAAAACATTTGCTCTTAAAATATTCGTTTTGTTATTTGCTTTGAATTAATATATAATGTTGAGAAAATAATGTGTAGTTAAAAGACACATTTGTCATTAATTTTCTTTTCAGACCCATTGACTCCGTATGGAGTTATGGAATAAAACCAAGTAAGAGTCATACAAAAAATTTTTTTTATGAAACGTTTTTTTTGAATCAATAACATCAAAAGTAATTTCATTTGTATTTTTATAACTTGGGATTCAAATAATTATAACTTTTTTGTGAAAGCATACCTGTCTCAAAAATAAATATTCTAATAAAAACATGCATCAGAGTCTGATGATCAGACTAATTATTATTCAACTTAGTCATCTCTAAGTTTAACAGAAAAAAAAGTTGATGCAATTTTTATCAAAAAATTCTCATCATTTTTCTCCAGGATTTTATCTTTTTTCTCCAGGATTTTATCTTGTGTTGTTTTTTATTTTAGGTGGATTTAAAAACAAACGGCTATAATTTAAATATAGGAATATAACATTTTTGTAAATCCGTCAAAAATACTACCAATTCCAATCTAGATATTTATTAATTCAATTGTAATCTAGAAGTTTATAAAAAGTTGTTTCAAAAAATACAACTTAACTATGCCTCGGTAAGTCCCGTAAGTGATAGGGTAAAAGACGAATATAAATATTGATGTTATGACGTCTACAACCCGCCATTAAATAGCCAATATATATATTTTTATTAGAAAATTTAAAAAAAAAAAGTTTTTATTGAAAACTTTGTTTTGCAGAAGTTGCAAAAATTATTTTAAAAAACTTGCTAATGTAAATTATACTTTGTAGGATATGAGAAAATTGGATGAGTTAATTGGTTCCTCGCTCCTAAAAGTAGCAATCTGATTTATTTTAAAATAAATTTTGCAGTGTAAACTATAATTTGCAGCATCTGCAACAGTTATCATTTGATTGGTTGCAAATGAACTCCGTTGTTTTAAGCTTAATCGTGCGTTTGCAAAAAACTTTAGTTAAAGCGTAAGTACATATAATGTAGAGTGCTTTTATATTTAAAAGTAAAAATATGGCTTATAACTTGATTGAAAATGTTCTGAAAATTAAATTAAAATGAAAAAAGCTTTAAAAATATTTATTTAATTCAAAACATAACCAATTCAAACTAAAAGTAGTGTGTCAAACTTTTTAATATTTTTTTTTTATTATTATTATTTTCTATGTTTTCTAAAAACAGGCTAAAATTAGAAATGATTCTATTCGTTTCTTAATTTTTACTAATTTTTTTACTAATCCTTTAAAGAATCGTATTAGTAAAACATGTTAAAAACAAACTGATGGAAATTTTTCTGATTTGTGTTCGCATTAAGACAAGTAAAACCAAAATATAGGTTCTCACTGCAATTAAAAAAAGGTCATTACTTTAACCTACTCCCCCTCCCTAATTTGCTCAGCGGGTGTATTTACGTTACATAAAACATGGTGTATGGCGTATTTTTTTTGATTGGGTAAACTAAAAACCTGCGTCCACCCCTGAGCTAACTCTAAATCTCTTGAACATTGTTTACTAATTTTTCTAAACTTTTATCTTTTAACAGCAATACTTTGATTGCTTATGACGTTTTGAAACAATACTGTGGATAAAGTGGATTGTGATTGGTTAACTTTAAATTGTATTAATTACTCGGTATTTTTATTGAAAATTATGTTACTACTAAGACTGTTCCTTGAAAAATCACGTATTTTTTATTTCGTTCTCTCTCCAGCTATATTAGATCTCTTTGTTTGAATTTAATCCATCACTATCCTCAGGCATACTCATGATCTGGGAAAATATAGCAAGCCATAAATAAACGCATTGAACACAAAAGCTTAAAGTAATTAAAATTCTAATAAAGATTACCATGAAGTTATAATTAAAAAAAAGGTCCTTTGTTCTTTAAAGGCTTTGTAATGCGCTTGATTGCATTTCATTCTATAAACTGCTAAGCATTATTTGAGAAACAATTAAATTTACAAGCAAACTTTTTCTGTTATTATATTTTTGTTTTTTTATTTTGTCATTCGATGTCAAGTTTTGATATGCTTACGTTTAGAACTTAGTTTTAGTAAACTTACTGTTTTGCGTTTTGTATTAAAGAAATAAATAATTGCAAATAAATGTGGTTTTAATTCATTAACTTCTTTAAAGTTTTCTAATCTTAGCTTCTTCAACACTAGGTTGTAGTATAACTGAAAAAAAAAAGAAGTTTTATTAAAATGAAGTCATCATTTTTTCTTCATCAACCAATAGAATCTTCAAATGTATCCAATTTCAGGGATTTTTTGAAACCTGATGACGAAAAACGAATTGAAATAATGAACTTGGTAAAAGAAGGTAATTACAATTATACTATATAAGTTTATTAACACAACGTGTAAAGTTTTACGCAGAGTTGTTAGGCCTTAGTTTCACGATAACGTTACACGTTAAAGAAGAGATAAAAATTTAACTTACACTTAAAAGTTTTAATTGGATAAAACTCATTCAATTCAAACTATTAAGTGCGAGTTTAATTCTTTATCTCTTCTTTAATTACCTACGATTATTTAACTGGAAAAAAACAACAACACCACTTTGTTTTAAAATCCTGAAAAATATATAGGCTAAAAAGAATTTTAGTTTTAAAACTTTATTAAATACAGTAAATTATTAAATACACAATACATTTATTTAAAGTTATTAAATACACAGTAAATTATTAAACACGCAAATAAATAATTATTGTTAAAATAATATAAATAAAATGCATTTATAATTTACGTTTGTTTATGTATCTTTATAAGCTACACAATATAGTTGTTTAAACTAACATTATATAGCTATCTAAACAAATCGTGGAAAAAATATCAAAAGGCAATAAATGCTTACTACACCAATTGGAACTAATACTCAGTGGATCTGAAAAGTTGAAAAAAACTGTATATTTGTAAATACCTTACATAAGTAGGCAATGGTTAAAATATGCAGTTGGTTGTGAATGATATTTCAGAATGTTTTAAAATGATACTTTAATATATTTTAAGAAAACGATATTCACCTTTACACGGTCACTTTTACACATTAAAATATTATTAAATGAAATTAAATTTTTTTTCGACGAAAATAAGTTTGCAAGCAGCTCTAGCGCAATGGTTAGAGTGTTTGCTTCAGAATCAAGAGATCTAATGTCTACTCTGGTCATACATTTGATATCGGTAATGAAGAGTGAACTTCCTTGTTAAATGCTCTTCAGCGATGCAAAAAAAGTACCCCCCCCCCCCCGCCAAAAAAAAAAAGCAGTTGAGGTGTCTGGAAGGCTGTTCAATAAGATCAAGTTATTTTAGTTACGTCACAATGTTAATTTAACATTACTCTTATTAATGTTAAGCTGATAAGCCTCAAATTAAAAAATCTAAAACTCAAAAGTCGTGGTTTTTATTTATAGATTTACTAAAATATTTAAAGTACGCGTTGTGTTATTTTTAAAATTGTCTAATTTTTAGAGAATGCTAAATGAAAACAGTTCTAACTTTAGAAAAATAAATTAGATTGTATATTTATTTATCTTTTTTATGGATATGTTTTCAAATTTTCATAAAAGTTAAACTAAGTACTTAAATTAAAAATATGCATGGTGTCATGAAATTAAACGGCCTTATTTGTTTTTTAAGCCAAATATTTGAGAGCTTGTGCTTGCAATGTTAATGGTTTACGCATATTTAATAAAATGGTTTAATAGTACGATCCTTTTAAAGGTAATTGAAAGCGCGAAAGTTGTTATTAGGTAACGTTAGATGTAATTGAGAACATGAAAGTTGTAATTAAGAAATGTGAGATAAAACTGATAACATAAAAGTTGTAAATAAGAAATTGTATGATGCAATTGAGAACAAAAAAGTTGTAATTACGAAAGGTCTATAATATAGATACCTAAAATAAAGTTCTATGTGTTTCTAATTTTGTAACCTTGATTTACTTTCTAATTTAAAGCCGTCTCTGGATCCATCTCTTTCATAGCCTTCTGTTTTGCTTAAACCGGAAAAATATAGAAGGCCAGTTAAAAAAACCCATATTTTGTCAGATGGACAATCTTTCTCAAAATATTTTAATTGTTGAGCTATAAATTTTAAGTAAATCTGGCGCGGGATAAAAAATTTTTGCTTTAGCTTAATTAAAGTATCTACTATACATCACTAAACTTTGTAAATTTTTAAGCCTTTTTTTTAGGTTTCTTTTTAGTAATAAATAGTAATCGAGATTAATGTCTTTATTGAAAACAACACAACATTTATTAACCTTCATAATTATATATTACTAAAATGATTTTAGAAAGACATGGATTATATTTGTCAGTAGAATTGGGATATTCAAGGACTGTACAAATAATAAGAATACACAAGTTCTCAAAAGTAAACTTTAAAAGTATTTTAAAAAATTGTACACAAACTGATTAAAAATGTGAAACTAAAGATTTTTAATTTTTTCTCTGTCTTGGGCAAACAATCAATCCGCAACAATGGAGTCACTGACTCTCTTTCTGATGTTATTAAAATAAATATTTGAAATAATTGTGTGTACGATTTCCTCTCCACAATTTTGGTGATTTAAACATAAAAAATGGTTAGTAGCCTTCTCTACTGCCAAGAACTAACTTTGCTGCTTTACGATGTTGCATTTGTGACTGATAAATAATATCAAATACATGATCTAACATAGCAAAATTATCACAGACATATTCTAATAGGGGTAGTGATGGAATTGTTAGCCCCCCTCTGGACAATTTATATAAATAACGATAGTCATTTGACTCCTGTTGACAGTGTTGTCTACAAAGCAATTTGCAACATATTTTAAACTTCTTAATCAGTTTTTTGGTAACAAAACCAGAAATATAACTAGCAACTTCACGAGAGTCATCTGATAAAGTCTCACGATCAAAATCTCTTTCTTTGATCTGATCCATCAAAGATTTAGCATGTTTTGTATCTTCAACATCATAAATATCATTTACAAATACTTTAATTCCTTCCTTTATTGAACTTTTTATTTGGATTATCTTCTCACTATAGATAACATCTTTCAAACTGACAAGGAACCTGCCACCACTCATTTAGCGGTGGCAGGTTCCTTGTCAGTATCGGCCAAATCTTCTTTCTAATGGATCACTTTGAAAACGAGCAGTCAATATAAATTTATAATTATCTTCCAATAGATCTTCTATTAATGAAGCTTGGCATAATAAAGTTCTTTGTAGTTCTGATAATGTTTGAGAAGATAATGTATATTTCTCAAAATTTAGGATTTTGGTGTTTTTTGATTTATTCAACTATTCAGCGAAAGCTCGAAAAAACCCAGGTTTTTTATCATTAATAATAGCAGCATTTCCAAAACAGTTATTTGAAAACTGATTTTTTAAATTTGTAATTGTCCACCATTTATTTAAAAAAGTGAGGAAAGATGCAACATCTAAATGGTTGGGAAAATATGTATTTATTGCTGCTGCTGTAGTTTCATGGAAGATACCTAAAGCAACAGTAACATTTTGGTTGTAGTTTCCGGGATTGACAGCTTTGCTATTTATTTTCGGTGCTTTTTTTAAATTTGCATCCAACAGTCTGTCTTTTTCTAATAAATCATGAAATATTTTCCACGATATTTCTCCTGGTTGAACGCGGATTTCGTCTTTAAAAGCTGAAAAATAAAACTCTGGGAAAATTAAACTTTTTTTTATATAATTAGTTATTTTCAAATGTTTTTAATCAGACTATGTCAAAGAATAGGTAAATTTTTTGTGATTGACAAAACTACATTATGAATATGATTTTGTGAATGACATTAATAAACAAATCATCTGTTTTTTTACTATGTGCATCAAGCAACTTTGTAAATAAGGAAACATTTGAAGCATGATTTTCACAAACAACACCTCGAACATCAAAGCTATTTTATATTAAAGATTCAATCAAGCTGAGAATTTCAGTCTTCATCCAATCACTGTTTAATTTTATATTGAAACTACTTTGATGACACAAGATGTATTTTCTTTTAAACCAACTACCATGAAAGAAACAATGCTTCTATAACATTCATTTTCTTCACTAATCCCATTGTATTGAGATATACTTAGCACAACAATCTTTCAATTTAAAATGAATAAACTAAGGCGTATTGACATATAACACAACAATTTTTCAATTAAATTTTTATTACTTATTACATAAAAATGCTAATTTTGATATTGTTAACTTTTTTAAATTTATGTCCAAGAAGTCCTTTTATAATAATCTAGAACATTGTAAATTCGCAACTACAATTTTTGTCTCAAAACATATTACAATTTCTTAATTACATGTTGCATTTTTCAATTACATTTTACAATTTCTATAATGTTGTGTTTTTCAATTACATACTACGATTTTTAAATAATATTTTGAATTTCATCATTAAGTACTACAACTTCTCTATTACAACTTTCACGCTCTCACTTAGGGGAAAGCGGGGTAACATGGCGAATGGGGCAAGATGGGTTTTCCTGTAACAACTCAACAAAAAAGCCTAAAGTTGGGTGAAAACGAAACTGTATTTGCATCTTGTATTTTAAAACACCAATCGGTTTTTTTAAATATTATTAACGCAATTTTATACGCGTAAGTTTACTTTTTGCGCTTAAAAAAAAATTCCTCAGTTTCGGTTTCACATAATGGATGCTGTCCTTTAAGTTCAAAACACTATTTCTTTAGAAGTAGTTTTTTGCGACTTGTGTTTATTTTGTGTTACTTTAGTTAGAATTATAAGTATTTTTAAAATTTTATAAAATTGAAGGCAAAAGTTGCATAATAAGTCATCTTGCCCCGGTCACGTGACCAGATGACAAATTTATGAACTTTTTATTTTAATATTTATTTCAAATTTTTATTTTTGCAAAATCAAAATTTATGCAGGCAATTAATCATTTTAATAAAATAAACATACTGAGAAGGTATTATTGCTTCACGACTGATAGTTTTACAATATCTCAGGGGTTTCCAAACGTTCGCCACGTTGCCCCGCTTTCCCCTAAACGTTCTCACTTTCATGTTCTCACTTTAATGTTCTCACTCTAATGTTCTCACTTAAATGTTCTCATTTAAATGTTCTCACTTAAATGTTCTCACTTTCTGTTTGAAAAGGTGTAAGTTATTCCTTATTCCTTGTGTAGTTACATTATGTTATACAAGATTTTTCGCTAACCGATTGCCAACTTTAGTTTAGTCCAATAACATACAGAATACTAAAATAGGCTTTCAGATTGCTAAATATCAACATGCTACTGAAAATAACCTTACATATTGTGCACTAATGTTAAATATTATTAC